TCAAAAACATAATTCATCAACTCCAGCTTGGAAATACTGAATGCCATCTAACTTATTTCATTACAGGAGTTTGAGGAACAGACAAGCTCCCTGGACAGGTTCTGATCACCATACCCTAAAACAACATCTATGCGGAATCTGCACTGGTTCTGCTGTCATTTTCCATGCAACAGGTCACAATTAGGAGAAAAACAAGCCTTGCTGCAAATGAAAGTTGCATGTTTAATTAGTCAATACAGAAATAGAAGGAATTAAACAGAAGTATTAGAGCAGTTTTATATACATCTACTCAGTGGTAAGCCCCACTGAGCTCACTAGACTTACTCCAAGGAAAAAAGGTTACAAGACTGCTTAAATGTTAAACCTGGAACAATGTCCCCCAGCCCTTTTCAAAAAATATCTCTTGTGCCTTAACTTTTATTTTACATATTAGGCACAAAATAAATCAGTAGATGTTCTAGGTACAGATTCCCCCATCACACTCACACACACACACATTTTCTTATCTCATTACTGCTGTGCTGTTGAACAGAAGATCATAACTCTTCCCACAGTCCAGTTGGATGATGTGTTTCTGTGTGTTCCTTGCAAGGCTAAAGCTTTGTTCATTTTGTTTTTGTTCAATTAGAGAGAAGCCTGATAGAAAACTTTAAGTGCTGCAGTGATCTAGTCAAAAAGGGTCAAAACAAGCTCCATAAAATGTTTTCTGACAGAAAAAGTATGTTTTCAAGAAAACTGTTGAAGTGAAGATAGGTAACATCTGAAACAAATTCAGAAATTCTGAATCAAAGACCAAACAATTGGTACTATATGATACAAAGCAAGTTAAAAACTTGAGCCGTTGGTAAACTAATGGGTGCTTTACTCAGTGAATATACAAAGCAATGGTCCTCTGGACAGTGAATGTGTCTGAATTTTAGAAGTGCTAGACACAGCAGTTGGTTAGACATAAACCATCTTGCATACCGTTACAACAACAGAAAAGTAAGCTATAAATCTTTGTATTATATTTTTGCTTAAATCCACGAACAATTTCATATGCCCCACTGAAAGATAGGGGGACTGCTCCCATGTGAATCCCCACTGAAAAGTCCTTTGAAATACCTGTGAAAATCAGCAGTGTCGCACTACTTACAAAGCATCTCTTTCTATGGTACTGAATCAGGGTGTCCTTAGAATTAATTATTATTAAAATCACAAAACTTACACAGCTGTATCTTTGACTTGTGTTGCTAGTATTTTGAACAGCTCTTGTGATACTTGAAAATCTGTGCTTTATTTTCACTGCAGCAAGGGAGCCATCCACTCTCTGCTCGAGGCTGAAAGATCTGAACTGTTAGTGCTTCTGAGGCCATGGAAGCCACCTTGCCGGTGGTGACCTGCAGGCACTCTGGGGAATAGGAAAGGGAGAAGACAGTCCCCACCAGCAGGCATAATATTCAGGTGCTGCCACAGTTTCCCCACTTTTCACACCCAACCAAGATCCTCAGACAGCAAAAATAATCAGTCTGAGTCTTGGGCAGAAGCAAAGCCTCGCCATAGGATGCCTGCAATCTTCTGAATTCAGTTACAGGAAGCTAGGCTGGACTGAACTGTCTGATGATTAGGGAAAGTCACCATAAATAAATGAGAAAAGCAAAGGGCTGTGAGCAAGAAGTGGCATCACCCTCACAAATGTGCATTTGGAATTTCTAGGAGGTTTCAGGGAAAGATTTATGAGGGAAAACAGTTAAGCATGTTCTCCACACACAACTATTTCAACAATTTAGATGACAATCTCCTTAAGTGACTTTCAGATTTACAAAGGAAACCACTGCAAAAATATGGATGAAATACAGAGTTTGACTCTTACTTGCTTATATGCTCATTATTTTATGAGTTTGCATCATTGTCATATTTCTGTTGCTTTTCATTTCTGTGACACTTGCTACCTTGAGTAGTCCATTTGACTGGGAAGATGGCTTTAAAATTCCTGAGTAAATTAATTATAAAATGCCCCCTCTTAAGTTCAAAATAGAAAATGTGCTTTTTCTATTCTTCCACACTCTAAGAGGAAAAAAAAGATTTCTCAGAAGTCCTCCTTGCAACGAATAGGGATTTCTTAAGGTACCTTCTATCCCTAAAAGTTGTGGTTTTGAATTGAGAGGGAAATACCCAGGAGGACTGGGTCACCTTCATGAAATTATCTAGGACAATAGCCTGATACTTTTAGTGCCTGGGGACCTACCTCAAGCAGCTTGTGAAAGTACAGTCACAAAACTTTTCATATACAAAAAGAGATGTTGTAGTCAGAAAGCAATTTCTTGACTGCAACCTAGACCAGTCAGAAAACTGATTCCAAAAGAAGGTATCATACTTGAAGGATACTGAAGGAAAATAAATTGCAAAACAAAATACTGAAACTTTTCCTTCAGAGCTGTACAATAGTAGGTCCACAGGCAAATTATTGCTCACATGAAACTTCCAAAGAGTTTAGAGCTTTTTCTCTGTTCTCCCCATGAACATTTCAGGCTCATCCAAGGCATTCAAAAGTGGGCATGAGAGCATAAACTTTCGTTCTCTACTTTTTTAGTGTAGCTTTGCTAACTTCTATCACATGTGTTTCAGTGTTGTGAACTGCCGGAAGGAGAAGAGGTCCATGCATTACTGCTATTAACCTAAAACACTGCCAGGGGTGGGGGGTTATCAAGAAAATATGCAGGTATATAAAGCATCTATCTTTGTATAGTTTTCTGACAACTATTGTTCCTGACCAGATGTGTAGTAAATGTGTGAAATTAGCTGGCTAATACGTTGTGGATCATGATGAGTATTAAAACTAAGAATCATAAGAACTGTAGCAAAAGGGGGGGAAATTTAAACATGAAACTTGAAAAGGACATCTGGTAAACCCTGTAGCTCTTGAATTCATTGTTTTCTTTCAGCTTTTACATAAACAATTTGATTTTGCTCTTAAATGGGTAAGCCAGAGATTTCTGAAAGAAGGTGTTTGTTACAAGACTGGGCATGCAGTACAGAAGTTAGTGCCATATTCATTCCATTTAAATGCAGCGAGAAACTATCTATGGTCTTTGCAATGTCACATTTAAAAAATGGGTACTTCTCCAATGTACAGGTGCAAACATGTGCAGTTTGCACACCAAGGCTCCACCGCCCTGGAAGATGCTCTGCTGGCATGTAAATAGACCAGTGTGTTAGTTAAGTGCTATTAATGATAGAACAGTCACGTGCTATTGCCTGCAGCCAGTGGCATTTAACTCATGTCCAATTTACAGAGATTTTAATTATATGTCTAATTTTCACTGGATTTGTTCTCCAACAAGTATTGGCATGAACATCTCACTTTGCCCCAACCCACACAGTCTTAAACTTCTCGCCCTGTGGGCTGAGCCAGAGAACCAGCACAGCTGAACAATATGGAAGAGAATGATTTGCAATATCCATCTGAATGAGTCCTTAGAGTGGTGGCTTTAAAACTTTGCACCTTTGGGGATTCTTTTCCACAAGCATTCTTAAGAATAGAACAAAAGCTATGCTGGATCAGACCAATGGACCATCCAGTCCAGCACTCCAGTAACAGAGTGGCAAGCCAGCTGTCCACAGGATCCACATGCAGGATAGGTACAAGACATCTGCTTGCTCCTCAGCAACCGTGGCTTGCAGGCATGCCACTTCTGTTAGCAGAGACAGCACACAGCCAGCAAAACTTATAGCCATTGATGGCCTCCTCCTCCATGAATTTGTTCAACCTCCTTTTAAAGCCATCCAGATTGGTGGTCATCACCACTTCCTGTGGCAGTGAATTCCATAGTTTAACTATACATTATGTCAAGAAGGGGTTCCTTCCTAAATCTTCGCAAGACCTTGGATTCTTATATTATGGAAGAAAAAGAAAAATGTCCCTCTTTCCATACCATGGATAATTTAACCATCTCTTTTATACTTCCCCTACTCACCCTTTTTTCTAAGCTAAACAGTCCCAGTTGTAGCCGCTCCTCATGGGGAGGGGAATAGGAAATCATTTTAGTGGCCCTTCTCTGCATTTTTTCCCAACTCTGTGATGTACAGTTTGGCAACCTTACCTGAAAAAGGACAAGGTAAGTGCAGGTGCATATAAAAGGAGTATGACATTGGTGGTTCCATTTTTAATTCCATTCCTAATTAAGCCTACCATGGAGTTTGCCTTTTTTTACAGCAGCTCTGCACTGGGTCACTTTCACCAAGCTGTCCAAGATCATAAAATTATAGTATAGTAGAGTTGGAAGAAGTCAAGAAGGACGTCAGATTCAACCCTTTCTTGATTGGTCATCTTCCAAAGAAAGCTTCCATGATAGCAGAAAAACTTGATTCTTGTTCTTAGGGTGCATATTTGGTCATGCAGGCTTGTGTTAACATACTGGTCAGCCCCTATTACTAAACAGAGTGCTAGTTAAGAACACCCTTGAAACACCTGTGGCTGCACACACTGCAGAGAAAGAGGAGGTAATGGTGGGGAACTTTCAAAGAAATTTCCCATTATTAATCTTTTTAGAGGACTCTTTCAAGGACTTCTAGTGTTTCCTGAAACGCATTTTGAAAGGTCCCTGCCTGAAAAGAATCCATCTGACAAATTTAGTATTTATTCAATATATCATGATTCAGTTTGAATATATGCAAGATGTGTGTTAGACACCCATTTGCTTCTATCTCCCATGCATATGGATGCTCTCTGGGCTCATTCCTGTATGGAAAGTGTCTGTGGATACAGGAGGTGCTCCTCTTCAGACTGTCACTATGAGCAGAGGATAACAGGTACAGGGAAGGAAAAAGATGGGGCTAGAGCATTTCCAATTCCTGTGAGCTTGCCCTATTCAGGTACAGGATGCCTGAAATAGGCTGGCATGTTGCAGTACAGAGAACATTTAATACATGTTTTTAAAGGTGATACAAGTTGGTGAGGAAAAAGTCTCTATGCAACTAGCTGTCATTCCAGAGACACTGATTCAACAGAATACTCAATGTAAATAAGCTAGTAAAGAAAATATTTTATTACATCATGAAAAAAGTATAATCAAATTCAAACTTCTTTAAAATCTGAAATTGGTTTTTAAGACAACCGGTTGGTATATTTTGTTCCACATGGGAATGATATGAAGACTAATCTCGCTTCTAAATATTGCACAGTCGGAAAGAAAACAATGAAAATGATAACAAAACACAAATCACATGATCTTGGGAACAATCTCACATTATGAAAAAAACCTAAGAAACATTATTTAAAAAACAACTTGTTTCTACAGTAGAGTTAAGTTTGTAATTCTTGGAATGACCATATTCCACTGAAGACCATTTCAGCGAGAGGAAGCTTCATTTCAGCTATCCTTTGTGCAAATAAGATTAATTAAAATGCAGTTTAAGTCTTTGATATCATGTAGACAGTTGCCACATTTTTCTACTACATCCCTGCCAGGGGAAGGAAAATATGAAGAATGATTTATGCCATGAGTTTTGCCTGCAATTCCATCTCTGCTGCCCGTTTGAGTGCAACATCTACCAGGAGCTGAAATCCACTAAAATCCTGATTGAGGTCTGGAGGAGTAGGAGGAGGAGTGTTGAAAAGCCCATTCTGTGCATTTGTACTAGGTCCCAGTTTAGTCACATCTTCATGGTACAGGAGAGAATTGTCTGAAAAGTTGGTAGGTGAGGCCCGCTGCGTATCTTCTGAGATCTGACCTGAACTACTTAGTTGACCAAAATGGAAAGAAGCATCTTTCAGTGCAGTTACCGTGGTGTGGCAAATTACGGATGGTCGAGCCAAAACAGATCCTGCAGAGGGACGTTTACAAGACTTGTTTGGTCCTGTGCTACCAGAGAGAAATGAGCTCTCAATCAATGGAATGCAGTTTTTTGTGCCAATGGAGAATTCCATAGGGCTGCCATCAGTTATCTTGGTCCCTCTTCGTGAGATGGTGAATTGATTAGGATCCTTCCCATCCTTCCTCAGCATATCAGGTAAAAGCCTGCGGCGAGCATTGATAAACCAGTTGCAGACCTGAGAACAGAATGACATCTTAATTCCTACTCTGTTCATTTCTGACTGATTTCTTAACTACAGGACAAAAGAATGGTCTGCAGACAAGTTGTGACACACCCACTGAGGGCCATTCCTTTCTTCCTGCTTCTACCAGCCATTCCTGCTTAGCAAAGAGCCTCAGGCTATCTCTCCACTGTTCTACCCAACCCAACAGGTTTAATTTTTAGCTCTGTACACATGTTAACCTATTCTCCATTGTTCACTACATTTAGGTTAATTAACAACAGGAAAATGTTTCCCTGTGAAAGAGTAACTCCTCCCCAAAACAGTTACTGATTTGCTTGGTTCAACAGACTGTGTCAACAGGCAAGACAGGGATTACCTCATTGAAGTTTAGCCTTGTTTGAATATCAAACCAGTTTCCTGGGCAATAAAGAACAACTCAACAGTACTTTTCATGCTTACTGTATAAGGATTGTTTCTCCCACAAAGAACATTTGCTTATTACTCTCAAAGAAATGATGCTAGCCATTCAAGAAAGCAACACCATTTAAGATATAAAAACCAGATTTACACTGCAGCTTTCCATTTAGCAAGCTGGCTTTATGTAGTCCCTAAACAAATACACACCATTGCACACATCCAACTAATGATGCAAACAGGAGCTTATTTAAGGCTGTGATACAGTAAAGTTATTACAAAGTGGGCCACGAATGGACTGAGGAGAGAGATCAGACACCACAAAAATGAGTGGGAGGTCGGAAATTCCCAAGTGCTTCTATCCCCTCTTCACTGTGCTGTCAACATTTTTTCTGCATGACCATAACGTACTTCAACAAAATATCCTATGTTCTCAGGAAATCAATCTTCCTACGGCAGTTTGTGTTTGAGCACACATATTTCAGGGTACTTTTAGAAATGGTGCATTTTGGACTTGATTTCTAGAACCTACAAGGCTGTATGCAGTCTTACAAATTAAGTAATGTTTCTGTAAATTACAACATAGTAATTTCATTTTGTTCTTGCTGAGAGGAAATCAGAACAGAAACCAATAATCTTATTTGCATTCTAAGATAAATCTTGTACATTTATGTTTCTTCTAGATACTTGAAAAGAACCAGTCTATGAGAAGCTACATGCAGACTTTGCAAGGTTAAGCTTATAACTGAAACTGATAATTTTCACATTCCCAGACAATTCCCACAGTCACTACAGTGCACTTACACTTGTGAATTAGGACTTCTCACTTACCAACCTGGTTTCGTAAGTCACTCAGAAACATGAGCAGCTGAATTAAATAAGATTTTATCTGAGGGAAGTTGCACAGAATGATACTCTTAAAATTCACCATAACATTCATAAATACCTGTAGTGTGGAAAGGTGTGTCTGTCTTGAGAGTAGTGATTTTTCTTGCTCCGAAGGATAAGCATTATAGCGATGCTCATATAGCCAGTCCCGGAGAATCTGCACTGATTCCTTGGGCAAATTACCCCGCCTCCTCCTCTTGACTGAACTAGCAGAAGAAAGATCCAGAGGTGCATCCATGCTATCATCATCCTCAGTCTCACTGCCTGATATTGCAACAGCAGCATCTATGATAAAACACAATGATCGACATCACGCTACTGTCTGCATTGCATCAGTTCAGAGACACTTAGCCCACCATCTCTCTGTGATTAAACATCGCAGAGTATGCCAGAGAGGCCCATGCTGTCTACTCCCTGTGACCTTCATCTGGACACTGGAGTCTGAGAACACAGGCCGACCAGTTACCTCAGCAACCATATACCTGGCCACATGCATTTAAGGCTTGTATAATGTGCAGGATCATACCATCCCCTTTGTCAGAAGCTATGAGTTTCCATACAGCAACTTCTCTTTAAAGCCAAATGTCTCATGGTCAGGCAGGCAGCCAAGAATGTAAAAACATTAAGTTTGTTGAACCAGGTGTCAATCATATTGCAGCACTCCTCGCTCATTCAGCGCAGTTTTTCCATTTTAAACATTTTCTGCTGTTTCAAGCAAATTGCTGCAAGAACAAAGGCGCACAGATGCAGAAGTAAAACCTACTTATGGGCATCTTCTATCAAATATGGCAACAGAGAATAGGCAGGAGAAAGCACACATAATTTCATATTATTTTTTTCCTGGAGAAACAGTCATGTCCCACTGCTACCAACTGATCCTTTCAAATTATTGCACGAATCGATGCGCTTCATCCCAAACACTGGCACAATAAATCTTAGGGCCATGCAGCTAATCTACTTATGTAAAGTTCTTAAGTCTTACTTATAGGCCCATTTTCGCTTGTTTCCTACAATGAACTATATGAAGTTACTTTACATCAGGTTTTGCACAGATCCTTTCACCTCAAGGACATCAAGGACTGGACCGAAACCTTCTGCATGCAAAGCATGTGCTCACGACCTCATTCCAACCGAGAATGCAGCATTAACAGCAACAGTGCATCGTTTGCATCTACTGAGTAACACATTTGCACTTCAACTTTGTCCTCAAAAGTACTAATAACTTGATCCTACGCTCATTCATCTGGAAATATAATCTACTGATTTTAATAGAACTTACTTCCAAGTAAATGTGCTTAACACTGCAGTCTAAAGAAAAAACATCACATCATAATCATTTACATCATCGTACGCTACCAAAGTAACTTTACTTTGACTGCAAATATTTTAATCCCATCAGAAATGTGAGGAATCTTAAAAGTCATATATAATTCTGCTAAAGCAGTCTTCACCCTGACTCTTGCCCACTTCCTGGCATAATAGCAGTCCTTAGTCCCTGTTATTAGCAAAATTAGACCGTATGTTACTGCAGTAACACCCAGATTCTAAGCAGCACAAGTGGAAAAACCAAGTGGTATTTAAAACATGGTAGTAGTGGAGCAGATTATTAGTCAGAATCCCACCTCTGCTAGCAGCCTAATGCCACACCGACAAAAAAAGTGAAGTAAATTAAACTAGGTCCAGATAACTGCACTTTCTCCCTGCCCTCAAATCCAACAGCCACAATGACAACTCATACATCAACATGAAAACCATGTGGCACTATCCCTTTATTCCAGTGTCTAAAGAAGCAGAATCATGAATTTCGGGACTGCATGGACTCTTGGCATATAATCCACCAGAAAGGTCAACATTACTCCTACAACTGGCGCTGCAAGGACAGAACTCCACATAGATAAGCAAATCACCAGGGAGTGGGAGACTATGCCTCAGAGGATGACTTCAGCACTTTTTCCATCCCTTCCCTGCAAGGATAACACATATTGGCTTTACAGCTCTTTGTTACTCAACACTGATAACAAAGACAACCAACTTTTCCTTATTCAGACAGGGGTAGTCGTCTCCATTGCAAAAAGGACCCAAATATGAGAACCCCTTTTTTGCTGCCAACCCTCAGACTTAAGTACTTTCCCATCTTACACTGGTGAAGGCAATCAGAAGTACCTTTCTTAGGGAACACTAAATACTCGGCTGGAACTTTTAGTATTGTTGGCATGACTCATTCTTCCCTGCAGAGTCAGAGCCAGATGGAGAAGAACAGCCCAGCTCTGAACAGAACTCTAGTGCAATTCTCTACAGGAGATGAGTAAATATTGCCCTAATGACTACATTACCTTCCTCATAAAGTAACTCTCTAAGTACAAGCATTAGACCTGCCTTGGTCACAGTGAAGAGTTCAGTATGGACAAGCTGTATTTTCACTTGTGCTCATTCAACAACCTCTCATGAACATGTAGACACCTGATATCTTGGCAGCTGATATCAAGTCATAATTCGGTTCACTATGCCTCTTAGCTCCTCATAGGCAAACAGGAATCCATTCAACATCCATGAATTTGACTTCCCACTTTCTACCATGCAGACCAGAAATCACACACACCACCAGCAGCAGTTTGTCCTGGAGCTGTTTGCTGTCATTGGTCTAGCCATGCTCCTAGGTCTTCCCAGAGTGCGTTATAACTGTGATGTAACAGTTGCAGCTCCACCAAGAAAGAAACATGTTGGCAGAGAAAGTTTAGGTACAATGAAGGGAGTGATGCCATGGCATGAGCTCCAGGAGACCAGTCTCTTCCTCCTGTCTTGTGCATACTTCCTGGTTCCCAGGCACAGCACCTTTCTGTTATTGTAGCCAGCAGGAAGTAGCCAAAAATATGGGCTATGCTTGGTGAAGACTACAGGGATCGCCCTTCTCTCCTGCACTACCAGGGAGTCCATTGTGCTTGCTGTTGTCATGTCCATTCTTGTTCGTGAATGAAACATGCACACACAGACATCACTCTCTCTTCCTCCCAGAAGAACACTGGCTCACTTCCAAGACATGGTATGTTAGTGGAATTACTCTTCATGGGGGCACTGTTCCCACAGCGGCCCTCCAAACGCTTCTCCTGGGTCAAATCTCCATGCAGAGTTCCCTCTCACAGTATCATGGAAGCCTTGCCAGGGCGGAGGCAGTGTTGTTCTCTGCGGCTGCTGGGACCAGCGCTGTAGGCATAGGAATTATTTGCACTACTGTGCCAGGTGAGCTCATGGGGTCATTTAACCATTGTCTTGCTTGACTGGCAGTTTCTATACATGAGAAATATAAAGGAAACACCAAGCGGTTCCAAGCAGCCATGAACTTACAAGTCAGTCAATGGCTCCACACACATAACACAAGGATTTATAGGATGGGCTCTGGCATTTCTTAAGTATTTTAATTAGCTAGATTGGGTCACTGCCTTAAGAAAACAAAAATGCGTGCTTAAAACAGCCAAAAAAAGATCCAAGCCCTAAACACAGAAGTCCTTCCCAAAAGAGAATTAGAAAGCTGTTCTCTCTTCCTTCAAAAATAAATACGAGAACCTATAAACACTTCTGTGAGAATAAAAGTTAAAGCAAGAACAAACCAGCACAGCCGCCCACCTTTGATCTGCCTATTTACTGTGACATGTTCCCTCTGCTAAGTGGTTAATGACAAAAAACAGGTTTGGGCTACACAGGAGAAAACTGCCATGCAACTTCTCTTGGGGTAATGAGTTGATGTCAATAAAGGAGCACCAGCTCTTTGAACTGCCAGGAAAGAGTCCCCATATTTGTGCAGAAGCTGCAGCAACAGGAAACTACAGGGAGGCCTTCAACCCCCCCCCCCCCCCCGCCCCCAGTACAGCTGATTCCTTATTAGAGCAAAGGCCACATTGGTGCTGTCATGAATGTTTACACTGGAGCATTTGTGCTGATTACAGGCTAGCTTTGGTTTTTCCTCTTGTTAGTAATCAGCCTGTGCTCTTGATTTCCTGTTTTAACAGGGCACAGTTAAAAGGCATCCAGGCTACACTGCCTGTCTCATCTATTAACGGTTACTTTGTTGTTGTTTTTAAAAACCACCTGGATAGGAAGAGCTCCTCATTATAAAGTAGCAGAAGAATTCAAACTTCTTATAGTCTCAGTGGTAAAACATGGGCAATGCTCTCTTTTGTTTCAACTGCTTGCTTCAAGCTCACCTGAAGCTAAACAAAGCAATCCACTTTTGGATTCATACTGATTTAACTGCAAGTATATGTGCTCAAGAACTGTCAGATGCTCAGCCTTATTCAAATACTTAAAAGTTCAGCTGTCATCGGTTTTGCAAGATACCATGCTTCAGCAACACAGTTTGCAAACAAACTATCCAACCTACAATTATAATTCAAAGTTATACAACCAGGTCACTGGCTATGAAGTTCATGGTCATAACCGGCTTTCCATTCCAACAACTACTGTGAACACTGTGACAGATTGCCAAACTACATATAAGCATGATCAAATATTTGTCATTGCATAATCTTTACCTTTTTACTTCTTCTTGGCAAAAAAACTGACCATGTGCCACAGACCATACTCACACACCTGCACACCAGACATGATAATGAATAGGGAGTTAATGCCTTGATTTTTGCATATTAGAGAAAAACAAATAATGGAAGTATTTGTTGGAAGGCCCTAGTATAAAGTGTGGTAGTCGGAAGTGGTAGAAATCATCTGCTTCAGTACTATTTACAAAGAGGCTTTCAAGGCATAGGCCTTCCCTTTGCCAAAGAGAACAATGTGCTAGACTTCTTTCTCACAAATCCTTCTCACTTTGTGCTTCATGAAATTTTGGTTGAGCCATTTTTACTAGAGTCGCATACACATTACATGCTTGCAGGGGTTATACCAGCACACAGTCAAACCATATGTGCAGCAGTTACTCCCCTCACCCCCAGTGCTCCTTTGGAGTATGGACTCCAATGTATCCCAAGCAAAAACAAAGAAAGTAAGGGGCCTGGGATCAACCCAGCAATTAACACTGCCATGAAGATAAGCAGTGTTAAGGTGCCTGAGAGTGAGAAAGCAGGAGAATTAATGTTTACTGAGAAATGGAGGCTGCCTTACTGTCTCCCTAACTTGTCAAATGAAGGGTGCACACAGGCTGCTACTAAAAGAACCCAGCCAGAATCCTATTTGGATGGACAAGTATAAGGATCAAATGATTTTCCTACTTTGGGGCAACTCTTTATATTGCCTTATATCAACATGTTTATTTTTTAAAGATGTATGGATTTCTAACCCTGCAGCAAGTACCTAGAGCATGGCTTATGGATATGCATGACAGTATGACTAATTGGAAAGAAATGATCAGCTTCTAAAAATGTGCAGCAACAGGTCTGTCATACCCTCCACACACAAAAAGCAGAAAGTCCTGTAGCACCTTAAAAATGGACATTTACTATAGTATATATTTTTGTGAACCATTATCCGCTTCATACATGGAATGTTATCCTTAATAGCCATAGCTATAGATACACATATACAGATGAGTATGGAGAAGAACGAGGATGGAGGGAAACAACTTTTTAAAAATACAGAAACGTTTGCTAATGCTATGATTAATTTTAAAAAGTGACCATTCACAGAGTTGATAAAACACACTTTTTCCTCATTTGTGATTGTACAAAAACTGAATATGTAGTATATGTACACTTTATGATCTTCAGCAGTTTGAAAGAAGGGGGAAAATTGACTTTCATTCTGATACATTATACTGCATTCACACAACATGAAACCCATAGCATGTGCTCTGTATGAGTTCTCACTGAATCATGAGTTATTACGTTGTAGGAACCCAGCTGTGCTAACAAGACATTAACAAAGCAGAGCTCACAAGCAAACCGCAAACAATGAGTTCTCTTCATTGGTTGTTAATAGTTAGCAAGTTGTGGACTATTAGTAACAGCTGGGTTCATACAACATGGATAACCTATGATTCAACAACAACCCACCCTAGAGTCATTGTGCTTTGAGAACTGCTTAACTACATATCCACTCCTCTGTAGGACCATCACTTAAATTTAGTACTTCCATAAAGGTGCCAGCTTGACTTTCAAGTTTAGTAATTTATCACAACTAGTACTCCAATCCAAAACATATTTACATGTTATTAGTATGATTAGAGCAAACATCCAAGTTAAACATCCTTAGGGCTCTAATAAAACTTCAGATTTTCAGAACACACAATAAACTACTGGCTGCATGTGCAACCTTTTCAGCAAGTTTCCTGTGATCTCTTTTTAAGTTCAGGCATTTACAAGCCTTCCTTCAGTTACTACTCTGAAACATGGGCTACCAAAAAAAACCTTAAGTTCTCCAGCTACTATGCCATCTTTTCATTGTTTTATGGTCACTAGTCAGCTAGGATAACTCTCACTTGATTTACTTTTAAGTATTATCCAAGCACAAACATAAAGCACTTGACAGCATGTGTACCAGCATTTAACACTGAGTCAGAAGAAAAGTTAGCTATATAATAAGTTTTATATGTTAGTGCACAGAACAGAACAGCTGCCCTGGGGTGAAAAACCTGAACAATGGAAGCAGCAGACAGGAAACCAGCTCACCACCACTGTGCAAATAGAGGGAGCAGAGGAATGTTCTAAAAATAACTACTCGAAATTATTCACTCTGAATTTATATTTTCCTTTATCCAATAATGCTATGTATTTGTACAAACTAGGGTGCTCAGAAGTCATTATGAGGTACGTGTTAGGTCACAGAAGGAGGGCTGGGTACCTATTACCCTAAATCAATCAGAACAAAACTGTTTGGAAAGGATCATAGCATTTGTATAAACTTCAGTTCTTAATGGTATTCATTCATATGGGCTTGTATTACCAGCTTACCATGATCTGACTCTAGTATTCATACCCCAGTTTCCTTTGCACAATTAACCTTTAGTGATAAAACTTCCCAGAAAAAAATACAAACTGTTAACAGAATCTCTTTTTAAATTACTTATAAAGTACTCAGAAAATTGGGAGTAGGTGCACATACACTCAAATTGCTGCAAAACTCTAGGTAGAGAGAGCACTGTCTGCATTATGGATATGAGATGCATGGTTAAAACAAGGTCAACTGCATGAACAAAACCATTTCAGTACAATATTTTAAGAGTAAAACTAAAACCTGATAGGTAAACACTGGCTTTAAAATCACTAATCCCGTACATGTCTACTCAGTAAGAGCCCTGACGTCGGAAATTGCTTCCAGGATAAATAAGCACAGGACTGCAACCGAAGAAATAACTCCGACTGCAGCCCAGTCTGCACAGGATTGCCCAGAAAAGTTCACAAATGGAAACCGTGACAATCCTCCTGCTAAAGGGCAGGAGGAGAAAATCCACTCTGTCAAACGGTAAAAATCGTGATAATCCTTTGCACCAAAGCCTTCATTCTGTTCATTAAAGTACACATAAACTTGTTTGCATATCCTTCTCTCAAAGCGTACTTTTACAAGACCAGAACCTAACAAAAACAAAGACAGCCTGCACCGAAGTTTTTTTAAACGGATTTTTACATGGCTCCACCCCGTCTCCATGCCCCCTCCCTATCTGGAAATCGCAAACAAAGAAAGTGCCTTTGCTACTCCTTTTAGAAAAAGGCTACCAAGATTTTTAAAGGGGAAAACGGTCGAAACACACCCATGGCTGGGAAAGTTTGGGAAGGAAAGCAGTAAAAGAAAACCACCGGGCTTAAGAAAGAAAGTGTTGTAGACGGGCCGGGTTGGAAGAGAGCGAGGAGGAAACTTTGCCCGGACACAAAGCAGGCAAGCAGGCAGCTGGGACATGTTTTTGACAGGGCGCCAGCAGCATGGAGATGCGGCAGCCTCCCGGCAGACAGCAGCGGCTCTGTTTTGTCTGGGTGGAAAACCCCCTCAACCGCCATGTAGCACACGGGACCCCCCCCCCCCCCGCCGCCCGCGGGGGCAGGAGCCTTTCTTTGCAGAAAGCCAACTGTGCTTCCCAGTTTCAAAGCGGCGCCGAGCGCGACACCCGCACCTCGCCCAGCGATTGTTTAGCAACACCACGAGGAGAGCCGAGAGCCCTTTCAGTGGCTGAGAGTGGCCAGGAGCTCAGCGCCTCTCCCAACAGGCCGCTCTACTTACTTTGAGGAGTTTTCATCTTGGCGCCTGGGGACTCCTTCTGCCCAATCCTGGAGGTCTCTTTTCCTTTTATTCGTGGTGCGCGGGGAGGGGGCAGAAACTCGGGAAAAGGAAGGGGAGAGAAAGGCAAATCTCCAGCAGTTGCTCTGAAGTCGCGCCTTGTGTGTGGAAGGAATAGGGCTCGCTGGTCGCGGCGAAGCTGAAAGTAACTTGAGAGCGGTGCTCTCCGCGTCTTCTTTGTTCTTTAACTAGCGCTTGGAGAAGTGAAGAAGGCAAAAGCTGCCGCCTCCACCACGAGGTACACCCTCCCCCACCTCCCAGCAATGAGTAAGCGGGAGAGTAACCAGGAGCCGCAGAATGCTTAATGCTGCTGCCTCCTCCTCCTCCTCCTCCTCCCCCCGCCCTCCCCTGCTGCTGGCTGCCTGCCTGCTTGTGAGAGTGACTGTCAGATATCAGCGCCAGAGGGAGGAAGAGGAGGGCAGACAAGCTTTCCTACAAGGCAGAGTGCAATGGCAACAGCGCCAGGCAAGAGAGACCCCGGGGGAGGAACTTGGGTTCGCTGCCCTTCCTAGTCAGCCTTTGATCTGTAAACTGGAAAAACTGGGAGCGAGGGCTCCCTCGGCACCCAACTCTTGGTTGCTCTGTTGGGGTAAAGGAGGGGGGAAGCAGAAGTCATCGTGCAACGTCAGAAAGATTAGCCCTGTCCTTGATTTGTTTAATGAGTTCTCTGGGACTTACTCTTTAGGATGCTTATATTGATTTCCTGCTAACTTTCCCTTCCATTCAAGCCTTGCTCCTCTGTCCTTCCCTTCTACTTGGGTGGCGGAGCAGCAGCAGCAGCGGCGCCGGGGGGGGGGGGGGAGACTTGTGGATTCTTCCTCCTCGACCTGAGATTGTTATTACGGTTGCAGATGCCTCTTGCCATTGGCGGAATCGTTGCAATGACCCCCTTTTGGAAATTCCTGACTTGCCGGAGACAGAGACTGTCATGCTTTAACACTTACTCGCCCCAGTGAGTGTACAATAACAACGGCTCAGATCCTGTTTTCGCCGTTTTAGGCTATTAGCTTCTGGTTTTGACAGGGCCAGTAGGTTGTGGTGACTCGCACATTCATCATCCGATTGACCCTCGGAAGAGACGAGTGAGTGTCGCGCCCTGAGCAAAGATGTACGTTGTCTAAAGCTCCTCTGAGCTGCACTCTTGCAAAGCCTGAGTTTACTCTAGAGAAAGAGGTTTACGTAAGCCTATCAGCGGTTTCATTTCAAGCTTGTTTTACTCAGACGTAAGTTCCACTGATGGGTAAATAAGGGTAAATAAGTACAGACGTGCTGGGTTTAGTGACACAATGATCGGACGGTTAAATCCCACGGAAACCACTTTGGTGCCTAAATATTAAGATTTCTCCCCTCCTCTAGACCACCATTTAATTCAGTGGAGCAGAAAAGAGCAGGAGGAGGAAAATCGCCATTACGTCAGTTCCACTAACTGGAGGGAAATTTGCCTCACCTGGAGTAATTTTCCCACCACCCCCAGCTTCTACAAATGAGCAGTCTTCTCTGTCTCAAGCAACGTATTCATTTAAAAAATGAAAGTCACAAACTCATGTGACTTCTTGAAAGAAAGTCTCACGGCTCGACTCGACTTAACCCCCACTGAATAAACACGTGCGTTAGTAAAGTTTATTTTGCTCCGCGATGGTGAGATAGGCGAGTCGCTTTAGCAACCTCTCTGGGATGGATCCAACTCATGCCGAAGGGCTGCTACTACTTTTCCCCTTCGCCTCGGACAGAGTTGGCTCCAAAGCTCGGTCGTTTGTGAAGCTTACTTAATGTTTCCTCCTCGAGCAGCTCGAGTTTCTTTCTTGTGGGAAAACAATATCCACTGGGGACAGAAGAACATGTGTCAAGGAAGTAGGATAGTTGTCCTCTTGCCCCAGTGTGAGTCCTCCTCATTTCCTGGATTAAGAAAAGTCATGAGTAACATGCAAATACCGTGCCATAATCAACACACGCCCCAAACAAAGAGTTTGGAAAGTGCCACGCATGGCAAAGCAGCACGCATGGCGCCGTTTCCGACAGTGGCTGATTGCACGCGTGTTTATTTGGTGAAGTTCAGCCAAACTTAGGACTCCCAAGTTGTTATTGGGTCTCGCCTACGAAGTCCCACTCCTTCCTTATAACTTTGCTTTTACAGCATAATCAGATGCGTGGCTACGTGGGAGTCAGTCTCACTGTGTTCAGTGGAATTTACTTCCATGTAATATTGCGACGGCTTGCACACTCTGGGGCGGCAGTTGCTGTAAATCTCTTCCATGTTAAAATAGTTGCTGGAGGAATTGCAAACTCCCCTTTCTGTACCGTTTTGCATGTCATCGTGACTAAAGACCATGTGGTGGCCACAGGAAAAGTCTGCATGCTCCCCCTTGCTTGAGAAGTTGGAGCTTTTGTTTTGCAAATTCTGCTGTTAACCACTGAATGGCACACTTAGGCCGCAATCCGATCCCCTCCTCCCTGGGAGCAAATCCTATTGCACTCAACAATGCTTCCTTCTGAGTAGATATGTGTAAGATTAACTGATTTCTTCTGTTGGAACTCATGCAAGGCAGCATGTCAACACAATACTCGAAACAACACTTTCCAAAAGCGAGGTTACAGCATTTATTCAGGCACAAGCTTTCCTAGATCTCTCAGCAGGGCCTCCTGGTTCTCTGTGTAGTATTTTCAGGGGTCTCAACACGATGCCCCGAGTTACTTCCGTCCGCTTCATCAGATGCCTTCTGCATTGTGCAGGTTTCAGGTTACATGCGAGTGTATAGGGAGGGGATTCTAAACTGTGATGTGAGAAGGACATTACAAAGCAGCAAATAGCGATGCCATTATGAACAGTGGTCGTCTGCAGGGCAGCTGTTGCTACTAACACAAACCTTTAGGTAAGCCAGGGCAGTATATCCCTTATTCGCTTCTTTAACAATACGATCTTACAATCGGGAGTCGATTGAACTAAATGATCTCAACACACCTTTCAGTGAACCACACAGCAATCCTGGGCGCATTTTTTCGGAAGTCAGTCCTGCTGCGCCCCCCCCCCCCCCAGCAAAGGCACTCAGGGCCGCTGTCCCGCGCTGCCTGCACGCACCTTGCGGAGCGGAGGCTCTGTGCGCATTCGCGACGTTTCCGGGGTTGCCTGTTGCCGGGATAGGGAAGGAGGCTGCCAGCTGGGCGACACAATCGGCGCACTGTTCGCTCGCCCCGAGCCTGGGAGGCGCTAGGGCTGGAGGCGGCCGGTCAGCGAGCGTGAGCCGGCAGAGCGAACACCTCATATCCGGCGAAGGCTGAGCGGGGAGTGGGCGAGGCGCCGCCCCACATGGCCGGCGATGAGTCACGCCGGGCCCCGTCCCGCTCCTGGCCAATGCCTGGGAAGAGGCGCACTGCGTGGAGGAGGCCGATGAAAGCGCCGTTTGTGCAACTCGCAGTTACCTGCTCGGCTACAACTTCCTTGTGCAAACGAAGGCTCGGTGTCGGCGCTGCCCCACATACTCGCATGACGAAGCTCAGGCTCAGAAAGGGAACGCGAATGGCCAGGGGCGCTTCGCTGCCCTTCTCCCAAACTCGGTGACCCCGCAAAGGTCATGTGAAAGTGTGCGCGAGGGAGGGTAGCCCACGGAAAGGAGCGTAACGAGCTCCGATTGCATCCAGGCTCTGCCTTCCTCCGTAGGAAGGACGGGCTCTGCTTTCAGAAGGTCCCTTTCGCCCAATCCGGGGAATCCTCTGTTGCTCGTTGCACGCTCCGCAGCTCACTTCTTGCAGCAAAGCCCCCTGATTCTCTGCTGTGCTTTCAGAGGCTCCAGAGGACGCAGTGTGTCACTCCGGCTAAGGAAATTGATCCAACAAAGTTCCGGAGTCTATTAAAACACCCACCATCCCACCCTTCAGTAACTGTGAAAGTTTCCTCTCCGGAGAGGTGCTTTTGTTGGAAATAATTGAATCTGTTTCGGTCTGAGAGCATGACTCATGCGGTTCTTTCTTCCACCTCTTGCCTGAGGTTACGGCTGGGGCTTTACGTAGCACAATTAGGTAGCCATAAGATTGCATCTAATGTTAGTCTTACTTAGAACAGACGCAGTGAAAATGATTGGAACTTGTTAGACGAAAATTGGATGCTACCGACAAACAGTTAAAAAATTATGGAGAGGCCAGCAGGATATATCAAGAACAATTAAGCAGACTAAAACACATGGAGTCAGTTGTTCACATTCACAAGAGAAAGGCAATCCTATTTTGCATATTATTTCAGGAGAGTGTCAATTCATTTACTAAGTAGCAATGTCCCAGTATTTCACTGCCCCTACAAAAACATAAGCATAAATTAAGGCCTATTTCCTAAGAGGAACCATAATCTGAAAAGTAGAGTGGTGCTGCTTTTTCTGCAAGGCTCCTGCTTCTAAGTGCATGGGGAGAGGCTCTGATGATTTGGAAAGCAGTCTGCACCTGTACTAAGGTATTTGATTGTTATTATGTTCTGGCAACCCACTCCAGTATCTTTGCCATGAAAACCCCATGGACAGTACCAAAAGGCAAAATGATATGATGCCGGAAGATGAGCCCCTCAGGTTGGAAGTTGTCCAATGTGCTACTGGGGAAGAGCGGAGGGCTAGTACTAGTAGCGCCAGAAAGAATGAAGCGACTGGGTCAAAGCCGAAAGGACACTCAGTTGTGTATGTATCTGGTGGTGAAAGGAAAGCCCGATGCTGCAAAGATCTATACTCCATAGGAACCTGGAATGTAAGATTCATGAATCAAGGCAAGCTGGACGTGGTCAAACGAGATGACAAGACTGAGCATGGACATCTTAGGAATCAGTGAACTAAAATGGACAGGAATGGGTGAATTTAATTCAGCTGACCATCAGGTATACGACTGCAGGCAAGAATCCCTCAGAAGAAATGGAGTAGCCTTCATTCTCAATAAAAGAGTAGGAAAAGCAGTACTGGGATACAATCTCCAAAATGACAGAACGATCTCAGTTCGAATCCAAGGCAAACCATTCAACATCACAGTAGTCCAAGTCTATGCCCCAATACTGGTGCTGAAGAGGCTGAAGTTGACCAGTTCTATGAAGGCTTACAACACCTTGTAGAATTAACACCCAAAAGTGATGTCCTTATCATCATGGGGGACTGGAATGCTAAAGTAGGAAGCCAAAAGATAACTGGAATAACAGGCAAGTTTGGCCTTGGAGTACAAAATGAAGCAGGGCACAGGCTGGTAGAACTTTGTCAAGAGAATATGATGGTCATAGCAAACACTCTTTTCCAACAACCCAAGAGGCGACTCTACACATGGACATCACCAGACAGTCAACACAGAAATCAGACTGACTATGTGCTTTGCAGCCAAAGGTGGAGAAGCTCTATCCAGTCAGTAAAAACTAGACCAGGAGCTGACTGTGGCTCAGATCATGAGCTTCTCGTTGCAAAATTTAGGCTTAAATTGAAGAAAGTAGGAAAAAGCACTAGGCCACCCAGGTATGACCTAAATCATATCCCTGACAAACATACAGTAGAGGTGACAAATAGATTTAAGGAATTAGATCTGATAGACAGAGTACCTGAAGAACTATGGACAGAGGTTTGCAACATTGTACAAGAGGTAGCAACTAAAACCATCCCAAAGAAAAAGAAATGCAAGAAAGCAAAATGGCTGTCTGAGGAAGCTTTACAATAGCTGAGGAAAGAAGGGAAGTGAAAGGCAAGGGAGAAAAGGAAAGATACACCCAATTGAATGAAGAATTCCAGAGAATAGCTAGGAAGAGATAAGAATGCCTTCTTAAAGGAACAGTGCAAAGAAATAGAAGAAAACAATAGAATAGGGAGGACCAGAGATCTCTTTAAGAAAGTTGAGGAACTAAAGAGCTTCTTGATGCGGGTCAAGGAGAAGAGCACAAAAGTTGGCTTGAAACTCAACATTAAGAAAATGAAGATCATGGCATCTGATCCTATCACTTCCTGGCAAGTAGATGGGGAAGAAATGGAGGTAGTGACAGATTTTATTTTCCTGGCTCCAAGATCACCGCAGACGGGGACTGCAGCCAAGAGATTAAGACACTTGCTCCTGGGGAGGGAAGCTATGGCAAATCTAGACAGCATACTGAAAAGCAGAGACATCACCCTGCCAACAAAAGTGCGTATAGTCAAGGCCATGGTTTTCCCAGTTGCAATGTATGGCTGTGAAAGCTGGACCATAAGGAAGGAAGAGCGCCAAAGAATTGAGGTCTTTGAATTGTGGTGCTGGAGGAGACTCCTGCGAGCCCCTTGGACTGCAAGGCAATCAAACTGGTCAGTCCTAGAGGAGATCAACCCTGACTGCTCTTTAGAAGGCCAGATCCTGAAGATGAAACTCAAATACTTTGGCCACCTAATGAGAAGGAAGGACTCTCTGGAGAAGAGCCTAATGCTGGGAACAATAGATGGCAAAAGAAGAAGGGGACGGCAGAGGATGAGGAGGCCAGATGGAGTCACTGAAGCAGTTGGCGTGAACTTAGGTGGACTCCGGGGGATGGTGGAGGACAGGAAGGCCTGGAGGAATGTTGTCCATGGGTCGTGATGGGTTGGACACGACTTTGCGACTAACAACAACAATGTTTGTGTTATGAGACTGAAGTTTATTTTAAATCCACATGTTTAGCATGCCCAAAAGAACACACATGCATTTCAGTCCTACTGAATAAATCCACTAGGAAATATAATTTACATTACTTTTACAAGCAACACTTAAAATCTCATTGAGATCTATGTGCATTTAAGAATTGTGTACAACTAATGTTTTTCTACGCAATGCTATCCTTTTTCAGAGGATAGCCATGTTAGTCAATTGCAGCATAAACAACAAAGTATTTGAGGCTTGTTAAAGATTAACAAATTTATTCTGCCTGCTATAAACTTCAGCTTTTTTATAGTACAAAAATCAAGGTGAACTGGTCACTTCCTATACTTAATGACATTACTAACCATGGTAATTCACAATGTAGTTGCTGAGAGTGATACACACTTCCTGGTATTAGTATGCCAATGAATCCTCTGGCAATGAAATTGTTGTGGGGATGAAATTCAGAGGACAAAGGGGGTTATATCAACCATCTTGAGTTCCTGGAAGGCAGCTTATTTATATTTATTTTATAAAAAGAAAAACTGTTGATGAACTCTAACTCAGTAGTCTTTCGTTCTAATCACATGGTCCATCGCCTACAGTGCAACTGTATCTATTTGGATGCATTAGATAGACTCTTAACTCTAGAACCTAAGGGCATAATCCTTTTCATGTTTGAACAACAAAGTTCTACAGCATCCAGTATTCAAATGGGACCTACTTCCAGTATTGGATTTCAGCCTTTGTCTTCCTTCGAAATTGGAATCTGAGTGTTTTCCACTTCCCACCCCATCTCTGGTGCATCTTGTCTTTTTAGACTATTTATTTATTTATTTATTTATTTAAAATATTTCTATGCCGCCCCATTCGCCGAAGCCTCGGGGCAGCTCACAACATAAATTAAAATATAATACATTAAAAATATAAAATAAATTAACAATATAAAATAAGTCGTCCTGGCCAGACAGGTGCTGGCAGAAGCTTCCTTAATGGATTCAATCCATCTCATATTCGGTCCTCCTCCTCTTCTTCTACTTCAACTTTCCCCAGCATTATTGTCTTCTCCAGTGTGTCTTGCCTTCTCATGATGTGTTATCATTTGCATCTATATAAATAAGAATATAATATAAATAATGTATAGGTTATATAGAATAATAGAATTTTTGTTTCTGTCCAGTGTTAGATACAAACTTTCCCCCATTTCTATCATATCAGAATCTGAGAGCTACAGTGGGTTGGATACAAATTTAGCTGGGGTGGACTTATTGAAATCTGTGGTATTTAAATTAGTCTATCATTTAAGATTTAGTGGGTCTACTCTAAGTCAAGCTAAATTTGGATCCATGTAAGTGAATTCTGGAATAATTTGCAACTAATGATGGCATATGGTATTTGATATAAAACCCTTAGTGTAGAGCTCCTAGGACATTTGTACCTCCAACAGAACAATGAGAAATCTTTACAGATACATAGCTTATTTACACGCAGTCTATAGTAGTTTTGCTGAAACCTCTTCTGCATACCCACACCCCCCCGCCCAAATAAACTTGCCATTTCAGTCTACCCAAACATTCACGGACTTATGGAAGCCCAGTATTATCACCCTTCTATCCTAATGGTGGCTGGCTGATTAGAAGGTCCCACTCCAGAGGACTTAGCAGGTTCAGTTTATACTCAAAACTTTTAAAATGATATATTTATCAATCCTGATAGCTATTCTGTGCTAGATATATTCAGTATTGAGGACAGTGATTTAATATGATTCTCTTTTCTTCTCTTCCTGCTGTTTACCCCACAATAAAATCAAGCGATTCTCAAGGTACCATGAACAGCAACAGTGCTAAATACTGAAAACATAGGGAGTTCCAGCCCACAAGATAAACACACACACACACAAATTTGCATATGCTAACTTAAATTTGCTGTAATGTCTATCACTGTGTTGGTCCTTAAAGTCACTGTGTCCAAAGGACCTCTTTTTGTAAAAAGGAATGTATGGCCTGAGGAGATAATTCAATTTCAGGGGGGAAAAGGAAGAAAGATTCAAGGTGGCGGGAGGCGTGGATGGCTAATTCAGATGGCTCAGTCACAGTAGGGATTGTCAAGGTCTCTGTATCTTCATTTTGGCATGTGTGGTGGGGCAGATGGCATCCCAGAGGTTGGGGACTGCAACTCTAGTGGACCACAGCCCATGGGAACCAGGTCGAGTTGAAGTCCACTGGTACAGCATAAGTCCTGTTTGAAGGACAATACACTGATATACTTAAGGAACCCTATATCTTTAACATCACGTTATCTGTACAGTGCCATCTGGTGGATCTATTCTGAGTGGGCTTAGTCTGTTACATTCACCAGGTTCATCCCTTGAGGAGTTGAATCATCTCTAGCCTGCTCCAACACGCATACATTCCTTCTTTTTTTAAAAAAAAAAATCTGTTTTGCCCTATTCTGACCCT